GACTCTTCTGGCAATATTATTGCTTAGTCTATTTAATGCCGTTGTTTTTGAAGGTTTTTACATTGCACAGACTACTATTCACTCGCTGGCACAGTTGCCTGCTTTGTTATCTATCAATCAGACCCAAAGGGGAAACGAGTTACAAAATGGAGCACTTCTCATACTTGTCCATCCCAAATCTGGTGTTAGTGTTATCCTTCAGTTCCTGTAGCTTGCTCCCTTTATGGCTGTAGCCATAAAGAATCCTCCAGGATTTACAGGAAATGTATTTCTGCCTTTATCCTTCGTCTGACTTAGTTTGTGCTCCACTTTGTTTAGTGCACAGGAAATAATATGACAGCCACTATTTTAGAATTCGTCTTACAATTAGAAACTGGTGAGTTTTGTTTTTGAAGAGTGAAGCATAGCTCAGTAACACAATTTCACAAATCACCTTTCTTTTTTGAACCCAGGCCACAGATCCAGACTCAGGAGAGAACGGCCTTCTGCTGTACAGCTTAGTGGATCACGAAGATAATCTGTTTGACATTGAAGAAAATACAGGGCAGATTTTTGTTGTTTCTGTAAGACGATGGGCTGGAAGAGTTGCTCTGTTGGTGCAAGCTGCAGACCAGGGTGGGAAAGGACTTACAGCCCAGACAACTGTCAATGTAAGGAAGATCACTCGCTGTGTGCTGCTATTTTGCTTCCATGTCAAAAATCGCTACGCAAGGGCTAGTTTGGTAATGAGAAAAGAAATATTGAATGCCATGTTGTGAGACTGATAGATGTACCAATACATTGTAAATAATCTCAGGCCAGAATTACTATTTGCCACTTCTATTAACAGCGAAAAATATATTGATATGAAAAAAAAAATGACTTTTAGAGGGTAGTTACACTTATGGATCAAATTAATCTCTTACATAATTCAAGCCATGACTAAATTAACAAAGTTGTCTTGAGATAGGGAGATTCTGAAGGGAACTGCTTGGCAGGAACTGTGAGCAACTCCCTCTCCCCTCAGTACACCTTATTCCTTTGAGGAAGCTATTTTTGAGCTATTTTGAGTTATTTTTTCCTTGCAAGGAAGGATGTACCTCGACCCAGGGGTTGTATCAGGTACTGCGAGTTTGGTATTGCTTCCCTTCCACCCTCGCTGGTGCCATCCTGGTCATTCACGGAGTGGGTGATCATCGTGTAGCCGTGTCACCAAAAACTGGGAGCAAAACTCTTAACACCAGTGTAGTATTAAGAAGCAGGCATTGGCATTATTGCAGTGCTGGATGCACAGGGGATAGCTCCAGCTGTCGTGCATGCCCTAAGGTGTGTTTGCTAAAACTTTTATTTCTCTATTATTTACGTATGCATTAAACTCTAGGAATGATCATGCATATTCATTCTGTTTCCTGGAACTAACTACAATGTACCCCACCCTCCCACACCCTGTGTCACTTTGCTGGTCTCTGGTGGTCTTTTGAGACCCCTGGTGGTTGTCTTTCTGTGCCCATTTGATGATGTCTAGTAACTGACGTCATATGGCCTCATTTTGGCTCAGAAGGCCCTGTTTTGTTCTGCCCAGTTTCAGACAGTTCCTTGAAGATACAGTGGTCCTTTTCTTCGTCTTCAACCGGTGTTTGCTGTTTTGTCCGTATTCTTATGATGTCCCAGTAACACCCGCTGTTTTGTCCGCATTTTCTCATAATGTACCAGCAGCAACAGCGAAAATTATGTCCTTGGGTACATTTTCTTCTGGGGTTTCTTGTAACAGCTGCACAACAGATACATTTTAGTGTGCTGGCCAAACCCCAATCACTCCTGTGAAGGCTTGACATATAAAACTGTGGTTAGATAATAGAATATTTTAAATGCTGCATTTATAATAAATTGTTTGCACTACACATACAGTACCGATGAGTATAGCTAGAGAGTATACAGAAAAAAATAGGTTTTCAAATTGTATTCATATTTAATTTCAGAAATCTGTTTCATGGTATTACATATATATAAAAAAAAAGAGATTGCGAGAAGGGAAAATCTGAAAAACTCTTGAAACTTTGCTCACAGGTATAGTTGAGTTCCATATTTGCTCATAAGTCAATAAATTCTTCAATTTTTAATTACCTGTAATACTATTTTAACACCTTATTTCTACTGAAATTATAGAAATGGAAAGTTATGTGTTCTCATTTTTAGCCTCACAATTAGAGTTTGTTTTGAAAGTCAATCTTAAGAATGAAGAGAGGGGTATAAATACTTTTGAAAGCCTTAAATGTGATTTATTCATTTTGTAGGTACTCATTGATGACAGTTCCAGTGACAACATTGTGATACTTGTTCTCAATCAGATAATCAATGTCGTTGAAAGAAATATTGCTGAAGTAAAAAGGTATTTTTGAAGTTATGAAGCTTATTCTGATATATCTAATGACAAATTCAGAGTTGCTTTGAGATAGGGGTCTGACAGTCTACAGGGGACAAAGATGATGTCTGACAGTATACAGCCGGGGTCTATGAAAAAAAACAGGCTTTTATTCAATTTTATATAATTCAGAATAATTTCAGGAGCCCACAGAGTCCACCTGAAAGATGTGTTTGTTTTTTTCCTGGTTAGCTTTTGGCCTGCAGTGAAGACTGTCAAAAAGGCCTTTGGACTAGATAATTTACAGAGGTTGCCTCCTACTTCAACAAATTTCAACAGACTAGGATAAAACTTTTCATTGGTAGTAAGACTAGAAGGAAATGATCATGTTGCTATCTCTAGTTTTTCCAAACAGGGAAGTTAACAGGTGGTTTATGGGTCTGCCATGCAAATGCTTTGCCCTTTGCACAGGGTTGTCATGACTTTCATTTTTTACGAGGTTTCCTCAGTTTTATGAACTTAAATCACAGCAAGAGAAGAGCTAATATACTGGAATTATATTGGATTAGTTTGAACTTCCTCTTCTTCAGTAAATCATGCAAGTCGAGCTCTGTCTACAGAAAATCTGCTCTCACTGCCAAAGGAACAGAATGCCCTCAAATACAAATGTGGAGATGGGCAGGATAGAGCATGTGCTGACTGTTGATTCTCTGACAAGTATCCCAAAATAAGTCCTCAAACCAAAACTACCTTTGCTACAAATGAAAATCCCCCTTGTGGCACAGGTTTCTCAGGGCATCTCAGCCCTACAGCATTCGAGGATTAGCTAGCAGCATGTGGATGGTCACAGTACAGCTAAAAATGTATATTGCCCTCTTGGCTTGTTTATGAGGCACAAAAAAAAATGTTTAGCTATATATAAACAGATATTTTCATTGGAAATGAAATTTATATTAAAACATGAAATTCATGCAACATTTATCGTAAATGCTACATTTCCATTACTACCAGAGTAAAAGAATTTGTCACTGCCCAGTTAATTAAAACAGATTTCTTAATATGATGGCAGGGTCCTAGAAGAAATACTTGAATGGAATATATACATCATCGACGTTTATTCCAATGAGTTGGAAAGACGAGCAAGGGCAAGTACGGATGAAACCTACTTAAATATCATTGCTGTTGATGAGGCAGACCAAGAAGTACCCGGGGAAGAAGTAAAAAGGTCTGTATCATCTCATCAATGTTTTGTTTTGATTGGGCAGGTTTATACTACATAACAATTTTCCTGAGACTTCCTTCAAAGCTGAGTTTTTAGAATTTAGAACATTTTCATTAATTATTCAAAGGTAACTTCCAAAGCTTGTCAAAAGTAAATTAATAGGGCTGCTTAATTGTGCAAAATGTACATAAAAGTCAGTTTTTAGGAAAACTGAAGCAGAAAGATTATAATTAAAATAAATACTGCTTTCACTTTGAAACTGCAAAATGTTGATTAAATATTTTAATTTTAGGTGTATTTTGTATTTCGTAACATGACAGTGGTATGAACGCATACACACAAAACATTGTATAAAGGGTGGCTGCCATTTAAAATACATAATGTGATTTCTCGACTCCTCTTGTGCTTTTAACTAGAAATTGTGCCTGCTAATACCAGTGGAGACTGGTCATGCAAAGCTCTCTGCACTCCTAAAACTTTTTGATCAAGGAAAGCTCTGTTGGTATCTGCAAAGCAATACATGGGGCTGCCTAGATGTGGATTTAGAGGATGCCACGTCAAGGTCACTGTTCCAAGCTTTGCAGCATTTTAGTTCACAACGGCCTCTGGGCTGCTTGCTAGAAACGAATCTTTTCCCACAAAGGACATGAAACATCTGAGACGCTGGAAAAGATGCCAGTGATGAATCTTGGTAGACTGTGGGATGAGTTTTCTCTCATTTTCTTAATTTCTTCAGTACTCTGCAGACCAAAACGGAGGTCTGATAAATCACCAGCATTTTACTTTTCTATCTTTAGAAAACTTACAGAGCAGAAGACGATCATTCAATCAGAACTGGAAAAAATATTTGAAACAGCTGTTACGGCTGAGTTTAGAGTGGTCTCTGCTGAGCCGGCGTCCCCTGAGCTCGTCGCAACCATCGTTCTGAGTGTTCTGCTGGGCTGCACCCTTGTAGCCTTCCTGGCATACATAGTTATTACTGTAAAAAGGTATAAACATTTGTACTTTAGCAATCATCTCATCTAAATCCAACTTACAACTAGTAAATTTACTTTAAATGACGTATTGAAATCTACTTTTTTATCTGATAAATTACTGATATTTGGATAGAGTATTGCCTAAGGTTCGCTGTAAATTAAGTTTTTTTTCCTGTAGATATTGCACCCATTTCCAGGCTGTTTTTCCTGCAGATATTACATGCCTCTTTTACTGCACATCACCAAAAAGCTGGTTTCCTTTTTGTGTTTGTCACAGAGCATCAGCAAAGATAAATCCTTTTAAAGGAGAAAAAAATGTGTATAGCAAAATCTGTAACTAAGAAGAGGGGCTCAAGTACCTATATGAACCTACAATTCTCCACTATTCCCATAAATTTGCATGCTAAAGTCAAGGAAAGTGTTGCTGTTGACTTCAGTGGCAATAGCACCATATCTTTGTTGAAAATGACTAGATTGCCCAGCAGGTATTGGGTATTTAATCTTTTTTACCACTAATATGTAGTCTAACAACTATGCAGAAAAATAAGAAGTAATACTCCAAGCAAATCCCCCGAATAACACTGTAACACATGTTGTGTGTTAAACTTTTATGACACAAATATTTCATGTATTGCTTTTAAAACTTCAAAACAATGAAACATTTTATTTAATGCATTTGCCATTTTCAGGAGTAAGAAGCACAAGTGGGCCGTTGAAAAGCAAACTAAAATTATTGAGGTTTTTGATAACCCAGCTGTTGCTGACATAAATAAAAGCCCCCAAATCACAGAGAAACAAGAGCACACGAATAATGTGTAAGTACAACACTGCTGATATCACAATTTAGCTGACCAAAGGAGATGCTGCTTTATTCTGCTAAGACAGGATGCACCTTGTACCTTTCGCTAATGTATGGATTGATCTGTAATAAATGTTACAGTAGTTAAGTTATAAACTCTTTGTTTGGAGAAAGCTTAAATCTTTTACTGAAGTCGTGTAGCATAAATTACACAGGCAAATTTCTACTTTCTCTTTAGCAAGTTGTTGATCTCTATGCAGAAAAATCCCTTCAGGATACAAGAAGCTACATGAGTAAAATCCTAGTGATTTTGAATCCCAGTGTAGATACTGCTCCTGCGCAGAGATTCAGAGGGGCCAAGACTTTGTCGCTTGACTACCCGGAGGTGATACTAATTCTCTTAACTCTCTTCAGGAAGACTGAAACAACCACCTTGACCAGCACGGAAGACACCAGTGGAAGGAATGCTGATAAGGATGTATTTGAGGCCAGTCAAAGATATGAATATCTTGAGCCAGTGCTATTAGAGTTGGAAAGCAAACATGAAGAAAATACAGCAGCTGAAAAAAACACAGAACATGAAGATGTAGGTGCCCAACCTGCTACAGAAATTACAACAAAAGAGGTAATGTCTTTTTAATTGCAAAGCCTACAGTAAAAGGTATTTTATCATTATTCATCAAATAACTGAAATTATTATCAAGAAGCGGTAGCCAGTACCAGAACTTAACTATTTTTAAAGAATTTGTGGGGGAAAAAGAAACATCTGAAGTACTGAAAATCTTAGAGATGGGATGTTTGTCTCTGCTGACAAGCAGGAGGAGGGTGACGAGGACTTTGTTGTGCTCAAAAGGCGGGTGATTCTCTTGCACGTACCTTGTGTACGTGCAGGAAGGGTTCTCATTTCGTGCAGCCCGAGCCCCGCAGCCTGGCAGTGATGCTTTTGCAGGTCGCACAGGCAGGACACAGGTGAAGTTAGATGGCTGCTACTGCTGAGATTTTGTGCCCTCTGTACTCGTCATGTCTTTGGCTTCATCTGTGTTATTCATGTTTTCTTGCAGAACTACTTTTTGACAGATAAAAACGATGAGCTGGCTGATCCGTTAGCACTCAATCCCATAAAATGCACTCCAGAAAAAGAGCTGAAAGGTGTAAGATTTTCAGAAGTGGCAGTTGTTCTGGATACAGAGGCTGAGCAAGACGAGCCTGATCCTGAGGACTTACTTTTTAGCACTAATGACAGCATGCATGCTTAAGAAACCTTTTCATTATGAAAAATCAGTGTGACGCACTGAAACGGTACAGAATGCACTGCAAATTATAAATATGGGAATGCTGCCTAGATTTTAATTTCTGCTGCTACTGTTACTTGTGCTGTGAGAGATGGGCAGGAAAGAATGCGCGGGGCAAAGAGGGGAGCTGCAGAATGACTGCATTTCACGCTTACTTTCCTGGGAGCAGTGGTTTCTAGGATTTTTTAAACTCCTTCCAGCGCGTGTAAAAGAGCAGCACAATAAAACAGATCTAAAGGAATGCTGCCTAGATTTTAATTTCTGCTGCTACTGTTACTTGTGCTGTGAGAGATGGGCAGGAAAGAATGCGCGGGGCAAAGAGGGGAGCTGCAGAATGACTGCATTTCACGCTTACTTTCCTGGGAGCAGTGGTTTCTAGGATTTTTTAAACTCCTTCCAGCGCGTGTAAAAGAGCAGCACAATAAAACAGATCTAAAGGCGACGCCTTCCCGTTATTTTAGTGCAGGCGCCGCTCGATCCCGTCGCCTGTCCTGCGGCAGAGACTCGGC